TTTTTTCTAGGCATTCAGAGGGGGCGTTTGGCACCAAAAGTGCAACCAGGGGAGGCTCGCTTTTGATCAGAATTAGAGTGGGAAAAGCCGTGGCGGGGTCAGGTGTTCGGAGCCAGGATTTGTGCAAGACGTGAAAGAAAAAATTTTTTCTAGGGATTCAAAGGGAGTGTTTGGCATCGAAAGTGCCACCAGGGGAGGTTGTGCGAAACTGTGGGCGGAGTTGCGCAGACTGTGGGCTCGGGGCTCTGGCGCGCCAAATCCTTTTTTTTTCTAGTGGCCCGAAACTGCCCTTCAAACGCCTCAAACCCCTCAACCCCTCAAATCCCTCGAACCTGGCCGATGGTTCTTCCATACTGGTCGCTTCAAACCCCTCAAACCCCTCGAACCTGGCCAATGGTTCTGCCAGACTGGCCGTTAGAGACGCTCCAAAACCTCGCACTTGCTAGAGTGTGGGCCCTGGGCTCTGTGCGCTAGCCGTTGGAGACGCTCCAACACCTCGCACTTGCTAGACTGTGGGCTCTGGGCTCTGTGCGAGACTGTGGGCGGAGTTGCGCAGACTGTGGGGTCGGGGCTCTAGCGCGTCAAATCCTTGGTTCTGCCATACTGGCCGTTGGAGACGCTCGGTGTTCGGAGCCAGAATTTGCACAAGAAATGAGAGGCAGAATTTGCACAAGAAATAAAAGAAAATGATAGATTTTTTTCTAGGGATTCAGAGGGAGCGTTTGGCACCAAAAGTGCAACCAGGGGAGGCTCGCTTTGGATTAGAATTAGAGTGGGAAAAGTCGTGGCGGGGTCAGGTGTTCGGAGCCAGGGTTCATGCAAGACATGAAAGAAAAATTTTTCTAGGGATTCAGAGGGAACGTTTGGCATCGAAAGTGCCACCAGGGGAGGCTGTGCGAGACTGTGGGCGGAGTTGCGCAGACTGTGGGCTCGGGGCTCCGGCGCGCCAAATCCTTTTTTTTCTAGTGGCCCGAAACTGCCCTTCAAACGCCTCAAACCCCTCAAGCCCCTCAAACCCCTCAAACCCCTCGAACCCCTCAAACCCCTCAACCCCTCAAACCCCTCGAACCTGGCCAATGGTTCTGCCATACTGGTCGCTTCAAACCCCTCAAATCCCTCGAACCTTGCCAATGGTTCTGCCAGACTGGCCGTTGGAGACGCTCCAAAACCTCGCACTTGCTAGACTGTGGGCCCTGGGCTCTGTGCGCTAGCCGTTGGAGACGCTCCAACACCTCACACTTGCTAGACTGTGGGCTCTGGGCTCTGTGCGAGATTGTGGGCGGAGTTGCGCAGACTGTGGGGTCGGGGCTCTGGCGCGCCAAAGCCTTGGTTCTGCCATACTGGCCGTTGGAGACGCTCGGTGTTCGGAGCCAAAATTTGCACAAGAAATGGGAGCCAGAATTTGCACAAGAAATGAAAGAAAATGAAAGAAATGTTTTTTTCTAGGGATTCAGAGGGAGCGTTTGGCACCCAAAGTGCAACCAGGGGAGGCTCGCTTTCGATCAGAATTAGAGTGGGAAAAGCCGTGGCGGGGTCAGGTGTTCGGAGCCAGGATTTGTGCAAGACATGAAAGAAAAGTTTTTTTCTAGGGATTCAGAAGGAATGTTTGGCATCGAAAGTGCCACCAGGGGAGGCTGTGCGAGACTGTGGGCGGAGTTGTGCAGATTGTGGGCTCGGGGCTCTGGCGCGCCAAATCCTTTTTTTTTTTCTAGTGGCCCGAAACTGCCCTTCAAACGCCTCAAACCCCTCAAGCCCCTCAAACCCCTCAAACCCCTCAAACCCATCAAACCCCTCGAACCCCTCGAACCCCTCAACCCCTCAAACCCCTCGAACCTGGCCGATAGTTCTGCCATACTGGTCGCTCCAAACCCCTCAAACCCCTCAAACCTTGCCAATGAATCTGCCAGACTGGCCGTTGGAGACGCTCCAAAACCTCGCACTTGCTAGACTGTGGGCCCTGGGCTCTGTGCGCTGGCCATTGGAGACGCTCCAAAACCTCGCACTTGCTAGACGGTGGGCTCTGGGCTCTGTGCGAGACTGTGGGCGGAGTTGTGCAGACTGTAGGGTCGGGGCTCTGGCGCGCCAAATCCTTGGTTCTCCAATACTGGCCGTTGGAGACGCTCGGTGTTCGGAGCCAGAATTTGCACAAGAAATGGGAGCCAGAATTTGCACAAGAAATGAAAGAAAATGAAAGAAACACATTTTTCTAGGGATTCAGAGGGAGCGTTTGGCACCAAAAGTGCAACCAGGGGAGGCTCGCTTTCGATCAGAATTAGAGTGGGAAAAGCCGTGGCGGGGTCAGGTGTTCGGAGCCAGGGTTTATGCAAGACATGAAAGAAAAATTTTTCTAGGGATTCAGAGGGAATGTTTGGCATCGAAAGTGCCACCAGGGGAGGCTGTGCGAGACTGTGGGCGGAGTTGCGCAGACTGTGGGCTCGGGGCTCTGGCGCGCCAAATCCTTTTTTTTCTCTAGTGGCCCGAAACTGCCCTTCAAACGCCTCAAACCCCTCAACCCCTCAAATCCCTCGAACCTGGCCGATGGTTCTTCCATACTGGTCGCTTCAAACCCCTCAAACCCTTCGAACCTTGCCAATGGTTCTGCCAGACTGGCCGTTGGAGACGCTCCAAAACGTCGCACTTGCTAGACTGTGGGCCCTGGGCTCTGTGCGCTGGCCGTTGGAGACTGTGGGGTCGGGGCTCTGGCGCGCCAAATCCTTGGTTCTGCCATACTGGCCGTTGGAGACGCTCGGTGTTCGGAGCCAGAATTTGCACAAGAAATGACAGAAAATGAAAGAAACATTTTTTCTGTGTTCGGAGCCAGAATTTGCACAAGAAATGAAAGAAAATGAAAGAAATGTTTTTTTTTCTAGGAATTCAGAGGGAGCGTTTCGCACCGAAAATGCAACCAGGGGAGGCTCGCTTTCGACCAGAATTAGATTGGGAAAAGCCGTGGCGGGGTCAGGTGTTCGGAGCCAGAATTTACACAAGAAATGAAAGAAAAGTTCTTTTTTTTCCAGGGATTCAGAGGGAGCGTTTGGCACCGAAAGTGCAACCAGGGGAGGCTCGTTTTCGACCAGAATTAGATTGGGAAAAATCGTGGCGGGGTCAGGTGTTCGGAGCCAGGATTTGCGCAAGAAATAACAGAAAAATTTTTTATCTAGGGATTCAGAGGGAGCGTTTGGCACCGAAAGTGCCGCCAGGGGAGGCTTGTTTTCGACCAGAAGTAGATTGGGAAAAGCCGTGGCGGGGTCAGGTGTTCGGAGCTAGGATTTGCGCAAGAAATGAAAGAATTTTTTTTTCCTAGGGATTCAGAGGGAGCGTTTGGCACCGAAAGTGCCACCAGGGGAGGCTGTGCGAGATTGTGGGCGGAGTTGCGCAGACTGTGGGCTCGGGGCTCTGGCGCGCCAAAGCCTTTTTTTCTAGTGGTCCGAAACTGCCCTGCAAACGAATCAAGTCCCTCAAGGCCTTCAAACCCCTCAAACCCTTCTTCTTCTTCTGCTTGCCATTCTCCAGCCACGCAGATAGACCTGCGGCCGTCCACAGGAAGTGCTACGGTCAGCACCAGGGCTGCTGCAGCACAAGCCTTGCTGGCTCAGCACCTGGGCTGTCTAATAAAGCCCCCGCAAACAGCCGCCAGTCTATTAGCACAGCCAGAACAAAGGCATTGCTACTATGCTTCTTGCTGCCTGTTGCTAGTGATTTTTCTGATCTTGTGATGCTTCTGGGTCTTCTTCTTACTACTGCTGCTGTGATTGCTGTTGTTGGTGGATATCCCGGGGTCGGGAATGGCGCTCTGCTTGGCGTTGAAATGGCATGGCTGCCCTTACACTGCCTCCCTTGTGGCTGTGCTGGAACCCCCCCGTTGGGGGGAGAAAGGACAATATAGTGTTGCTAAATGTTTGATATTACCTGTGTCCATGAATGTTGACTTGAAGGCGCGGCGAGTTCCATCCAAAAGAACATACGAGTGTCTGGGTTTAGTCACCCGGGTTTGCAAAAAGTCACCCAGCCACATGGAAACGCAGCGTGAGTCAAAAGTCCCCCGGCTTGCGAAAAGTCACCCATTCTGTTTTAAGACACCATAGAAACGCTTTACGGAGGTATATGTGCAAAAACTGCTGCACATCAAGAATTCATTGCGCCTGTGCACAAAACAACTAGATTTAAGTTGAAGTTTGCAGCGTTTGGGGACCCAAGACCCATCAGAACGCAAGGGTAGGATTTATCATGACAATTAGCCTGCAAACATATAGATGTGTGATGCTACGACTACACGAGTCAGCGGTCTGGCTACATTGATTTCAACATATGAAATGAACCTTGTAAAAGCAATTTCGTTACACCGATGCCCCGGAGATCTTGAGAGATTATCTTCACATCACTTTTGGTCATCAAAATTGCATGGAAACTATTGAGGCATCCAAACAATGGTGTTGGACGAATACTCCAAAGCTTATGGATCCAATTATATAGCCATCATGCGCGTAAACCGCATGGAAACACAGCATCCAAACTATGTCGTTGACCTGATATTCTTCCAGTTATAGTGCCATCTTGCATCTAACCCGCGTGGAAACGCAGCATCCAGACGACTTTATAGGCCCAATAGGAGAGGTATAGAAGTGTGCTTTGAATAATTCCTACAGAAAGACCAAAACGGCAAAATGAAGGAACCCGTATTGAGCTGGTAGTCGAAGAGCTACAAATCGTTGGGAACAAAGAGGGGCCCTGTAGATAGAGAAGGTATAAATATATGTATCTTGAGTATGGCTTTAACTTGGAGAAGTCTGGTTTTAATTTTGTTACCTTGGTTAAGTTCCTTAAGTTCTATCCGAAAGTTAGGTTACTTGTAACTTAGTTTTAAGAGTCATGGAAATTATGTCCAAGAGAGTTCTCGAACTTACAGACCGTCATGAACTAGAAGCACGATTGGTTCCCCGGGATCGGCGGCAGGGGCGGCAGCCCTTAAATCCGGCCAGGGGCCCGCTGGCCGTGTCCTTGCCGTAGGCGTCTCTCCTCTTCGAAGGAGAGAGTGGAGTCCCGCCCCTGCCGCCGACCCCTGCGCAGTCCCGCGTTTTACAGTGTTTTCTGCTTCTTGCATTTTTCCGGCTTTGTGGCTCAAGATGGGTCAACATGGCCCAACATAGGCCCAAATAATGCTGGAAATGCGTGCCGCACCGGGTGCTTCGTCTGCATCGTGGGCGGCTGCTGGGCAAACAACAACAATAACAACAACCACAACAACGACAAGAACACTACCACGACTGCAACAAGCCCTTTGCTTGGGCCCCTGGCCGGCTGTCGGGCGTAAGCCCTTAAATAAAAATTTCTTTAAATTATATAATTTCAAAAATTGTTCCGAATAAATCATTCAAAATATTCGATACTATCATTGATATTAAAATACGCCAAATCGACAAAATCCACCATTAATTAATTTCAAAAATTCCTCATATATCTAAACGAATTCTTTCAAATGGAAGCATTGCCACCCAGTGAATCATATAAGTGGCCACAAGCGAAAATTCCAGCCTAATGCGAGCATAATTCCTTCTTGCCACGTTTCCCACCTCTTTGGCTCTTCAGCGGGCTACTTTGGAGACAAGTAAAGTAGCCACTCCGCAAAAGCGGCTGAAACACGAACCGTGTCAGGAGGAGAACAAAAAGAGAAAGGGCATAAGAATTTGAGCATGGCCGTGTGAATTTTCATCCTTGACGATTATGGTCGGTCGGCGCCGAACAGCGCCGCGGGCTGATGGCAAGATTGCCCTATAGGGCAGGACTCTCGGGCTGTTGCGAGTGGAGGAGCCAGTGCATGATGCGGCAGCTAGTGAGCCTGCGGCCGTCATTCCTGCAGCTGAAGCTCCTGTAGCTGATGCCCAAGCAGCTGAAGTGTCAGAACATGCGTCTGAATATAGCAAAGAGGTACTGTAGACGCAAGATATGGCCCAGGCTTAGGCCGTCATACTGCCACCTCTTGGCTTTGCAAAAACTGTTTTGAAATGCAACGCCAAGAATCACGCTCTCTGCCCCGCCATTATGTGAACTGTTGCAGAAGAGAGCAAGCAAAGACGTTTGAAGAGATCTCGTGGCAACATAACACAGGCCAAGACAACTTTGCATGATACCAGCTTGCAGTGCGAGAGACGCTGCAGGGTTGGCGAGAGCTGAGAGCTCCTGCAGAGATGTCTTAGTCTACTGTTGAGTATGTGGTAGTTCACGGCCCGGCTTGACCTTTCATGATTTGTACAGCTCCGGATACACCCATCCTTTTTGAAAAGTGAAGGTTTGGCTGCCGAAGATCTCACCAGAGTTCAAATTAAAGAGACTCTTGAAACTTATGTATCGGAAGGCTGCCCCGCTTTGTTAGATTGATGGCAGCGCTGAAATTGATGGGCCAGCTCTGCAGCGGAAACAGATCATCGTCGAAACATTAGAGGAAGGTTTGTTAATTAGAACATGTTAGAACCTTTTGCAAAGCGTGTGCTAGGCGAACTGCCAAAGCCGAAGCAGCTGCACACTTGGAAAGAAAGGACTGTTGGTGGAATGATTTAGGTGTCCGCCTTCAACCCGACTTGCTATTTTCCCTGCAAGTGACGCTATGTGTGCTCGGCAAAAATAGAAAGCCTTGCTGTCTAACGAAGATGTAGTGCCTGCGGAAACAGATTTGCTCGAGACACCAGCCAAAGCCTCTCATGAGCGCCAAAGCGCCTGTCACCCAGAAGGCGCGTTCTGGAAGTGGGCAGAACAGAGAGCTTCTCCCAAACCTCGAGCGGATGCTCGAGTAGGCCACTGGAAGACCGAAGGTGACATCCACAACACGCTGCACTTCCTGGAAAACCGTTGGCAATTTCATTTTCCTGGAATATATGCTTCACAAGAGGTCTGTTTGCGCAGAGATCGGTGATGTGGCATTGTTGCAGCGTCTGGGTGCGTTGCGGGTTGCGCCTGCACAGGCAGCGGTGTCCAGCCCTTGGAAGTCTTGCAAGAACATGGGAAACACTTGTTTGACGAATGACTGGGTACCCAGACGGCAGCCAAGAAACGCTTGGGCGCCCACGGTTGAGTGAGCAGCCGCACATATCTTGCAGCCATGTCTGCAGGAAGTGCTGGGAAGATATCTGCAGGAAGTGCTGGGAAGACTTTCCAAGACTGGAAGACATTCAGTGGTGACAGTGCAAAGTAGGCTTCGGCAGGATTTGCGTCTATGACATGGAACCTGACTTGCAAAAAGAACATGAGTGTGCCAGCATGGAGGCATTGCAAGACATTCCACGCATGGAGACATTGTCCTGTGACAATTTGTACCAACGGCTCGAAGAATGATAGGAAAACCATCCAATCATATCTTGACAACTTGTTTCTGGGTGTAAGAGGACTACTACTTTCAGCTTCACATTTGGAACCTTTTGACTCTATCAGTGAGAATGCAGCTATAAAGGGGCATGCACAACATACAACCATATACATGAGCACATGTTGTGTACATGAAAGCCATCGGTTGGACTTGCTGTGATTTGAAGCTGGGATACGGATTTTAGAACGTGTTTACTTTTCAGCTCTGATATTTTTTTTATTGTGTATTTTCCGTTATATACATGTATATATATATACACATGAAATCCATAATCAAACATTAATCAAACGCACTGCAAATAAAACAAATCCTTTAAATGATGGATTTTTCTTGTGTGGGGTACCACATATATATATATATTATATGACATTTCAAGATGTTATTTGATATTTGCAGTGAAGGTCAGGAGCTCGTGTGGCCAAAAAGTTCTGAAATTCTCTCAATTCAGTGGCCAATTGTGGTATCGTGAGTGACGCCGGCCTCCAAAATTCCGCAGCAAGATTGCTAATCAAAGGATCTCAATATGTGGGTTTCACCAAGAAATAGTTGCAACCTCCAGCTGAAATGAATCTAGGTTGCGGTCACCATGAGTGCCAAACGCTATCACAACTTGAGAGGCGGGGGACGAAAGCGATGACGACGACACGACGATCGTGAAAACACCTTAAAAATAATCCCTGAGATGATGTTTGTGATGTCGTGTCCCTTGGGGGGGGGCGGCCCCCCCCCCCCTAATCAATACCGCTTCAATTCGTTAAGGGAGGGAGGGGGTGAAAGAGTGACTAGGGCGTACACGGTTGAGGTGCAGACCGCTAGTGTCTTTTATGCGCAGAGTCTCATCCTCTTGAGCCTTATGGCAGTCAAGTATGGACACACTAGATAGGCCACTGGAGTGGAACCTGTACAAGTAGGCTCTACATTTCAGCAGGCACAAAATTCATGTCCACTCCTGCCTATTGCGTATGTCGCACACTATTTTTCTACCGTAAGGCTAAAACAGTCCAGCAAGCTCTAGTAAGCTTAAAAGGAAACCACGGTGCCCTGTACTTACCAATTCCAGTGTATTTCACACTTTAGAAAAGGTAATCTCTAGGTATACTAAATACAGTGAGGGAGCAATAGCTGACTCACCTCAAATACAAAGTCAAAGACAATGTATCTCGGCTGGAGACTGTATCGTTCACCGGCGAAGATACCATGTACCGGCGCTCAATAGCCCTTAAATAGCCAGAGCTTCAAAGAAACTTAAATTCAAAGGAAAGCGGCTTTCTTGCGCAGAGACCTGTAAAAGCAGTAAACGACACTCGCGTAACGAAGAACTAAAATTTCAAGACCGCGCAAACTGCAATGAATTAAGATGCCTTGCAAAATGCAAGGAGCGTCAACTCTCGGTCCGAGGAATGGTCTTCTCGAAAAGTGGTCTCGGCCGCTTCCATACACAGGACTTACGCAAAATTAAACTGCATCAAAAGGACTCTCTCTCATTGACATCAAAACAAAAAGGAAGGAGACACCGGCAAATGTATGTACAAAACTTGCACTACAAATGCAACTTATGAAATGACTTAATCATCAACCATGAATGGTTGTCCATTAGAGGTCACTTCAAAAGAGCGGCTGTGGTAGTTATCATCAGTTCTGAAAAACTGTTCATACCTACCTGCAGATAATAACCGTTTAGGAAACTGTATTTATCTGCATGCTAAAGCGTATAAACCTGGAATGCAGGAGTATCTTCTTTGACAAAAAGTTTCTCCTTGTTGCAAACCAGAATTCATTAAAACTTCAGCCTGGCAACTTAAAGTCAAGCCTGGAAGCAAAGTATCAACTGTGATCAGAAGTATCTTCACTTCCTATCATTAAAAGTAAGCCTCCGCTCTGAGTTTTATGCCGCTGCAGTCGATGGAGCTGCTTGATCAGAAGTTGGCGGCCTTCCCTTCCTTTTATTCTCTTTCTGTCTCTCCTTCCTCCGCAAGTTAGCATCTCGAAGAGTCTCGCCCGAGCGATAAAGTCTTCTGTCTCCAGATGAAAAGGAAGCTGGTCTGAGTGAAATAAACATTGGACCATGACTGTCATCGTCAAAGGGTTTAGAGCACATGACCTCCGTGTCAATCAGAGCAAAGTTCTCTGAAAAATTACAGACGAACTCCTTCGTGCTCAATGTGGAATTTGAATATTCCTCTCCACTCATTGAATGACCCCATTCAACAATGGTAGACAAACATGTATCGCCAAGCTTTGATCCCTGGTACACTTCTTTCTCTTCTGTAGAGTATTCTTCCCAGAGTTTCTCAAAGTAATCTTCGCACTGCTTGAGGACAAGTGAAGATGAACTGTAAAATGTTCTGGGAATAGGTGCTTTGATACCTGGATCTGCTTTTACACGGGCTTCTGAAAACTTGCGAATCCAATGCTGCATGGTGCTGTAATAATAGTTAGCCATTGGTTGCCTTTTGTACCCAGACATTCTGTAGGCCAAACTATTTGCATCACCAGAAATGATGTCCACCTCATATACAAAACATTCATAAAGCATCAATGCTGTCTGTTCTCCTGTCAGTAGGTGGGCATCCACAGCACGATGTGTATCAACATGATAATTACAGACTCTGATGGTATGCATGTTCGCTCGAGTAAGTGGAACACGCTGTTCCTTAGGACCATAGTCCTCAAATTCATAGTCTGCATCCTTGAAGTCCTGACGAGGCCTTGTTTCTCCAAAACAAATCTCATAGATAGCCCAAGTTACATCACGCTGTTGACAGTGACCAAGGTCTTGGTCATGTCCAGCAATGATCTTGATATAGCCATCTGGTGCCAATCTAGCCATTACTGCAAGATTCTCCCAATCATTGAAACAAACTGTCCAATTCTTTTGCTCAATGAATTCCTTGGCAGGAACAAGGAGCTGAGCTTCCTGGAGAATCACGACATGTGCACGTAAAAAGAAGAGCATGTTGAAGAAAAGGTTGTTTTCAAATTGCTCATATTGAAGTGACATGGCACTCTGCTTGCGTGGCTTCATTGCACGATCAAGTCCTTGGAGAAACTTTGGTGTGGTGTATTTCTGACCACGAACCATGTTGCCATAGTTCCAGGATAAAAATGTCAAGGACTCTGAGCTGGCCAATAAATTAGTTCCATATTGTTCTTCTATTCTTCCTTTGAGGAACCTTTGGCATAGCTCTTCATAGAAGGCGACAAAGTCCCAACTGGGTCCCTTGGGACCATATGATTCCAGTTCTCCTCTAAACTGTTCCTTTGTAACCTCCAAATCTTCTCGAGCTTGTTCTGCCCTTTCAAGGGCCCTTGGATCGACCTGATACTTGTCCTCCAAATAAACGATGCGATCATCATTGATGAAAAATCTCTTCAGGTCATGCTCGCGGCTGTCCTCATAACAATCAGGTGGAGGTACTAGACAGACCTTTCGAATGGATCGAACAAAGTCGTTCTCGTTGATCCTTGCCTGATAGTGAGGATGGGAAAGCTCACCTTTTCTGAAACAAACATGGTTCAACAATCTCGCGTGAGTTTCCCTGAAGCATTGTTGATAAAAGCCAATACCTGGATCTTTTGTAATCTCTCCAAGCAACCTCAAAGGTGAGGTATGCAACTCATAGGTATTGTCAGCATCCACAGGATCTTTATCAGCAACTACTTCAGATGGAAAAGATTCTTGGATTTCAGCCTCCAATTTCTTCTCTCCATCATCCTCTCTGACCTCTCTTATCTTCTCCACCGCCTTCTTCTTCTCCTCCATAGTTGCATCATCCTGAACTTCTTCATGAAAATGAGGATCAGGAATTTTATTCAGGCGGCTTCTCTTAGATTTCGGCAGACATGGAGTATCATCAAGGTTAGCATCCATCTCACCTGATGGTAAGTGCGATGCAGCTGAGTCCTCACCTATCTCTCTTGACAGAAAGTGTGGTGCTGACTCATCCTTGGCTTCCTCCTGGTCCACTTCCATCTTTAGTCCCTCTGAAGGAAAAGCACCTGCATTCTCATCAAACATTTCTTCATCTTTCTCGAGTTCAACTGCAGGATCTTCTTCAGGGACTTCCTCTTCCATATCTTCATCTTCCACAAGTACCATACTACCAGTATGGATTCCACCAGCAATAGTGGAGACTCTTGTGTATGGAGGAACTTCTTCACCTGCCTCAAAAGCTTGTTTTGCAACATCCTTGGTGAGCAAGTCTTCTATAAAATCTTCCTCCTTGGTTCTTGGAAGAGAATCTGAGGTCTCATAAAAATCTGTCCTATCTGAACTGAAAAACTCCGTTGCCTTCTCATTGTCCTTTTTATCCTTGTAAAGATGAGTAATCTTCACTGCTTCTCCCCGCAACACCTCATCACCTTCTCTATACTTGGTGACAATGGAGCGCCATACTGGCACGTTGTCATCATCAAAATCAAGCTCCATATCATCTGCCAGCAAGTTTGAGATGTTTTGAGCTGCCTGTTCTTCTTCTTCCTCACGTTCTCTGGCACGCTCCTCATCCTTCTGGATCTTGTAGACACCCTTCAGGATGTTTTGTAGTACCTTTAAGTTCAGCTTCGATGATGGCTCATACGTCCCTGAACTTACAGGCTCAACTACAACACGAGAGCAAGAAATCGCCTCCAAAAACTTGGAATTGTATTGGCGTTCAAACTCTTCCTTCTTGATCATCTCATACAAGGGATCAGAAACTGCAACACGCGCCTGAACATATTCACGAAGTTGATAGCATGCATGTTGCACAAATCTGCTGTTGGAGTTGTGAAGAAAACTCTCTAAATGATTCCTGTCACGGTCAATCAAATACCACACAACTCTTGCAGAAAAACGGAATTTCTTGAAGTTCATAGCAAAATGCTTATGATACTTCTCTGGATCCGGTTCTGCATATAAGGCATCCTCTGAAGTCTTGTAAACAGGGAGATTTGTGACTGGATCCAAAATCATAAACTCTTCCCACAAGATCGAATGGTTAAGAACCCACTTGGGAAGCACCTTGATGAAAAAGTCACAAACAAGTTCAGACAAAAGGTGCATGACATGACCAATCTCTTCCTCCTGCTTGAAACGATAGTGCAATTTGGCAAACAAAGGAGTGTTGAATGCTTCCTCCACTGTGTTGCCAAAACTATCCCACTGAGGTTCTGGAATACCAAAGTTCCAACCCAGCAATTTGGGATCTCTGCACATATCCAAGAAACTTGAAAGTTCAGCAGATTGAATACCATGGTCTGTCAGAATTTCAGCCCAGCGACGTCCATTCTCCCAAGCACGGATGAAGAAAAACTGTTGATATCCAGTTTGTGCCAACTCCATCCACTGACAAATTCCAGGTTCAAAACTCGGTGCATACGTCTTGGGGTCATCCTCTGTTCCATAAATATTTGGACGTAGCAACTTGTACCTTCTACAAAAATATTCTCTCTGGTGTCTTGTCAACCTGTCCCAATCTCGTACCAGAATCACGTCTTCTCCAGTGCTCTGGAGTACACGTGTTCCTCGGCGATCATGGAGTGATACCATGCCAATATCATATACCATCCATG